CCTCGTAGAAGAAGGTCGAGGACGTAGGCTTTGGCCATGCCGGCGGTGGACTTGAGAAGGGGTAGGGTGTGGGCCTGGTGCTTGAAGAAGTATTCGACGTTGCTGGTCCAAATGGGAACACCCCGCCTGAAGCTTCATCAACTTGTATTGGCCTTCTTGGTGTTGTCGTCGAGGAGGGGTTCCGAGCATCTGCGCCGCCACGACTCGAGCCATTCGCGGTCGTCTCTGCTGCACGCTCTCTCGGCAACATCTCACTGTCTTCTCGCATAGGCAAGGGAGCTGGGACCTCCACTGTGCTTGTTCGGGGAAGTTCGGAAAGCGGCGCCGAGGTCGTGCTTGGACGTCGGGATGAACGTGTAGAAGGAACTCTCGTGCTTTGTCCTTCGTGAGCTTCTTCCGGAGCCTCCATGGTTTCATCTTCTCCTGGTTGTACATCTCCCTGGGCCGCGAGTTCGGGCATCTCCACATCATCATTCACGTGGGCTTCCGGAGGACCTCCTTCGTCTCGTATGTCGCGAAAGTGGCGCAACTTCCCGGATTCCAGCTGCTCCAGCAGTTCTCCGGACATGACCTTGACCAGTTCCGCGCCCAGGTGCTCCTCGTTAGTTGCCTGTCGCACCTGCTCTCTCGAGGCCTTGATGAGGTATCCCCGTAGGCTTACCCATAAGGATCTGCCGTTCTCTGTCTGGCACACGACCACACCAGGACCAACCCATCCCACGTAGTCTGTCGTGTGTCGCCACAAATATACAACGTCTCCATTGACAATCTCCTTGAGGTCGGCGTTGCGGGTGTTGGTTTTGGCCGCCCGGTGAATGGCGGTCTCATCCTGTACCTCTGCCCATGCCTCCATGGCATCGTTTCGGAGCTTCTGCGCTCTCCGCATGTCATCCGAATGAACATGGTTCACCAGGTCGCGGTCCAGGACATCATCTGAGAGGAGAGCGTATGGGACCCTCATGCTCCGCCCGAAGACACGCTGACAGGGGGAGAACCCCGACCTGTCGAAGTATTGGTTGCGGCACCAGACCGCCGCATCCAACGCCAAGTTGAACTCCTCTTCGGAGAGGGCCGACTGCTCGTCGCAGAGCTTGTGCAGGACCGCCTTCAGTGTAGCGCCTGCGCGCTCGGTTCTGCTGTTCTGCCAGGGGCTTCTCACGTCGGTCATGTGCATGACCACGCCCCATTCCCCAATGACGTCGGCGAAGTCCTTGGAAACGAACTCCGATCCCTGGTCCATTACCACCATTTCTGGTGGTCCAAAGTATTTCATCCATCCTGCCATGAACGCCTTGGCTACGTTGGATGCTTCTTTGTTGGGAAGGATCATGGCCATCTGATAATGAGTGCCCCAGCAGACACAGTTCAGTATCACCTTGCGATGCACAAAGACCAGATCGATGCCAACAACGGCATTGAAGCCCAGGTGCCGGGCAAGATGGCCTGGCCGATGACTATTGGGCTTTTTGCGTCGGGCGCAAATGGGGCAGTGGAACTTGTTCTTGACCCACTTGAGCACTTCTTTCTTCACTCCGGCATGTCTCAGGGCCCGGCAGAAGGTTTGGAGGTCAGGGTGCCCGAGATTTCGATGAATGCGATAAAGTTCCCGACGTAGTTCGGGAGGGATGTCCGAAACGTCATCATCCAACCGCTTCGGCTCCACGGGAAGCTCGCGGAGCTCCTTGCTGACCACACGCAAGTCGTCCTCCTGGGCAAGCTGTTCCTCGTCATCCGAGTCGCCACCCAGGTTGTCGAGAAAATCGTCCAGGTCGAAGCCGCCGCTGTCTGCCTCATCCTGAGCACCTGGCACACCTGGCCGTTCTTGTTCCCGCCCCTCCAAAACTCTGTGCGAAGGAAAGAGGCTGAGGTACTCGTGCAGAAAAGCGGTCTCCTCCTGCTGGTATTGGTAGAGGGGATGCGCAGGACCACGAGACAGCCAGTCGGCGTACTCCTGGAAGGGCTTGGGAAGCATCATGGCATGCTGGACTTGGAACCGCGCAGTGCCAGTCCAAGGCCGCGCGTCCGCTGCACCCGGAGTGCTTGTCCAGGAATCCTCAGTCGTCTTGGTGTCTCCTGCGACGAACTGCTTGCACACCCGTCGGCGACCAGTGAACTGCACCTGTGAGACGTCCCATGGGCAGTCTTTGGGGCATGGTGTAGTCGTTCGAGGAGAAAAATGTCTGCAGACAAGCTCGTCTCCTTGCCACTGCCACGAATCGTTCAAGCCGAAGACAGGGAAGTGGCGTTGTTGAAGGTGTCGACGGAGTCCGTCGAGGATGGCGTCCACGAAGGCCTCCGTGTACTCCGCCGCTCGCCGAGTAAGGCCATGGCCCAGCAGCGGCCGATGTGTGTGGTCTCGGGAACATCGACGGTCCAGGGCATTCGCAATCTCTTCGACGTTGGTCAGGACGACGGTGGGCTTGAGGTGTAGCTCACCTTCAGGAAGGCACACATATCCAGTCGTACTTGGTATACGTCTGGATTCCTCGACCAGCATTTAGTTGCATCAGTGCAATGGTCACCGCGAATCGTAGGTGCTTGCGCCCGCGTCGAACCTCCTGCTCCACCACCTCGGAATTGCGCTTAAAGGACGACAGGTTTCGCATGGCGGAGAAAGGACCACAAGGAGGACTGAGGCCCACTAGCGTTGGCTGGTGCTCTCGAAGTAGCCGTAGAGCTTCTTGACGGTGCGCTCGTACGCTGAAGTCCCAGCCTGTGATCAGATCCATGGCGGGCCCCACCTTCATGCCCCTCTCCTTGGCTCTTGCGGTGAGGCGCGGTGGGGAGTAGACCTCGCTGACGTCCACGCCGTGTCCGAGGAGGGCTTGATGCAGCACTTTGTTCACATCCTTGGGGACCTCCTCCACTTTGCCCGAGGCGTCTGCTAGCCAGCTCACATAGGCATTCTCCTTTTGGAACAGAAAGCAGTGAACATCACCGGAAACACGAGTTGACGAAGTCGGGCTGGTACTTGGTTCTTCGAACTTCCAACCCTGGTCACCTTCGCTCCAGACGCAGTGCTCCACCGGCTTGCCAAAGTGTCTGAGCTCGGTGTTTCCAATCGTTGACGTCCAAGTAAACATCGCTAGGATGGTCGCCATCAGCCAACCGCGTCGTTGGAGCCCTTGTCGCAGTCGCTGAGCAGGAAGGGCTCCTCGTTCCTGCCCAACTGCCTCGCCACCTACGAGGACCTTGCCTCGACTTTGGCTGACGAGGGAACCACGATCGCCATGTCCTCGTCGATCGTGTCGTCGTCCGTGTAGATCTCGTGGATCTCTGCCTCTCCCTCGCGGAATCGAGTCGGTGTCTTCGCCCGCCGCGTGGGCCGCAACCCAGTGACCTCCCGCTTGGCTCTCGGTGTGATATGCGCAGTGGAAGAAGGAGTTGATCCATCGGCACCCGTTCGGCTCGGGACCTTCGTTGTCACTTTCGCCTTGCCCTGCGCGTCGATCTCCACTTGGCGAGGTCCTTGGGCAGGGCGTCCTCGAGGAGCTGGGAGGAACTGCGGGCAGTGACGTCCTCGGCGATCGATCATTGTGGCCGCATCCTCCGACGTCTTCTCGGGCACCTTCGGCGTCTCCTTGGTGTTGTCGAGGCGTCTCCAACGGCTCCCGCATCGAAGGCAAGTCCACCACATCGCTTTGGAGTTGGCTCGGCACCGCAGGTGATCTGGCCCATGAGGACATGACTGAGGCTCCAACTCCCACTTCTTGTGACTTTGCGACCTTGGAAGTGGTTCTCCGATGCCCTGTGCGATGGGGGAGCTGGGGTCCTTGTGGTTCTTCTTCTTGAACGGCATGCTCGTCGTTCTCTCCGGCGAGCTCGGTCTCCCCCTGGTGACCAGGTAGTCGGTCACCATCTGTTTGCGCGCGGTGACCAGCATGTGAATCATCACCGTGACCATCCGCTTCCAGGCCGCCTCCAGCTTCTTTACTGGAGTGCTCCTCGTAGTGATGTCGTCGACCGCCTCCCCGGCCGCCATGTCTCTCACCTGAGCCATCAGACTCGCCATGACGAGCAGAGGAGGTCGGTGGTCTCCTGGAATTCGAATTGAGCACCCACACCGCAGCGCGAGTGAGCATCTGCTTGAGCATTCTAGCTGCGGAAGGCCGCGATGTCATGCACCCTTGATGCACATCAAACACTTGCTCCAAGTCTTGCTCGCACTGCTCGGTTGTTTCATCACAGGTCTCTGCATCTCCGACTGCAAGCATGTGTATGGCAACCACTCCAGGAAACATGAGTTCTTGAAGGTGATGAGCTATATCGCCTATCATGCGTTCAGGTTGTCCGCAAGAGTACATGGTCACAGATATCCGAGTCCCCGTCCATGCCATAGATGCGTGAACTTGTTTGGGGGAATACTTGATGGGTTTATGGTAAACATCGACGACCTCCCCGGGAACCTTGCGACCCTGACGCATTTTCC